ATATTAGAGTAGGCTGCTTTTTAAAATTAGAAATTAGTATATGTTTTTATATTATCAAGAACTGTGAAGAATCTGAGATTTTACTCAACTAGTAAGCTAATAATGTTAGCTTGCCACAATTTCATGGATTCTAGTGGAAGACATAAGACTCCTGAGTCAGAGATAAAGGACAGTTTGTTATTCACAACGATAGCAATAGCCAGAGTATCAGCATTTTTGCATCAGTTCTCCATGCCTTAGTTTCTACAGGCAATGTGAAGAGGGCTACTCAGTGGATTGCATTATAGCAAAGAAGTTCAGAGAACTCAAATCTTTTATAATATGTAGTAAACATGCCTGCCCTTTGCTGTGGATGGAAACATTATCTTTATTACACTGGACAGCAAAAGCATATCTACCCTGGCTCCTGAGGAGACACTATCTCTACCTCCAAGGCTGTAGGCAAATCTGTCCTTTGCTCCAGACAGAGACACCGTCTCTATCTCCCAAGACTGCTTGCTACGTAATTCTTGTTAAATTTTGTCAAATGCTTTCTCTGCATTTATTGAAGTGATCGTGTGCTTTTTCTCCTTTAATCTGTTAATATGGTAAACTAGAGGGTAGGACTTAGGTGGGATGCTCCAGGAGAGGCTGCTTTGCACAGCTAGAGTGGAACACGAGAGGACACCAAAGACGAATCTCATCCATATTGCAACTTCATAATTTTTATAAGACACTCCCCTCCTTCCCCCAACACATCCTGGAGTTGCCATTGGCTACATAATCTGATAGTTTACATAAGCCGTAGATGAGAGGCATGACACCACTTAAGCTGAAGCATTTGCCTCACTATATAATTTGTATTTACATGAACCTATGCAATATAAATGCATGTAATATTTATCTTTGATGTTAAGAATGCTAAATAGGCTATGACACTTGGATAGCTGTCAATCCAATTTTCAATACCTCTAAGAAGAAAGAGCAAGTTAAGAATTTACTGTATACTTCGTACCCCTCCAGCCCCCACCTCCACAGCCCTACCCTCCAACCCTGTAATTTTTTAACATTAGGAGTAAAAGCTTTCAAATGATATACTTACTATACTTCAGGATTTTATAAAATCTCTAAACATCATATTCTGCTCAGAAATAGAGATCTAAAAACACAGATTAGCAATCACATGTTAAATTATTAGCAAATACTATTTATTGATTAAGTAGTAGTAGTACATAAAGAAGAATATTAAGAGTTGCAGGTTTAAATTTCTTTTAAATGCTTGAGCTATCTGGCCCACAATATCTTACATTTTTTCAAATAATTGGCTCTTGATAATGAATTGCTGGGTAGTCAGGATCTAATTAGCTACTTGTCTCCCAGTTGCTAATAGGACTGTACTGAGGCAGTCTTGTAGTTCTTCATATTTAGTGCCCTAAAATTGGAAAATAAATGCACACTTAATTTTATAGGTACAGGTAA